AGATGCTTGATATAATTTGAGTCTTCTTGAATTTATTGAGACTTGTTTTGTGGTCTAAAATGTGATCAGTCCTGGAGAATGTTCTATGTGCAGTTGAAAAGAATGTGTATTCTTCTCTTTGGGATGAGATGTTCTTTGTATATTATTAAGTCCATCTGGTCTAATATGTCATTTAAGACCAATGTTTACTAACTGATTTTCTGAATGATGATCTGTCCATCGATGTAAGTGGGGTATTAAAGTCCTCTATTATTACTGTATTGCTGTCAATTTCTCCCTTTATTTCTATTAATATTTGCTTTTATACATTTAGGTGCAGTTGTGTTGGGTGCATAAATATTTACGAATGTTATACCCTCTTCTTAGGTTGACCCCCTTTATTGCTATGTAATGCCCTTGCTTGTCTTGTGTTACAGCCTTTGTTTAAAAGTCTATTTTTCTGACATCGGTATTTTTTTGTTTCCATTTGCATGGTATATCTTTTACCATCCCTTCACTTTCAGTTTGTATCTGTCTTTTGGTCTGAAGTGAGTCTCTTGTATGCTGCATTTAGATTTTTTTTTTTTTTCTTATCTTTTCAGACAGTCTCTCTTTTGATTGGAGCATTTAGTCCATTAACATTTATTTATTTATTTATTTATTTATTTATTTATTTAAAGATTTTATTTATTTGACAGAGAGAGACACAGCGAGAGAGGGGACACAAGCAGGGGGAGTGGGAGAGGGAGAAGCAGACTTCCCTCTGAGCAGGGAGCCCGATGCGGAGCTCGATCCCAGGACCCTGGGATCATGACCTGAGCCAAAGGCAGACGCTTAACGCTGAGCCACCCAGGCGCCCTAGTCCATTAACATTTAAAGCAATTTTTGATAGGTATGTACTTATTGCCATTTTATTAGTTGTTTTCTGGTTATTTTTGTAATTCTTCTCTGTTCTTTCCTCCTTCTCTTGCTCTCTTCCCTTGTGGTTTGATGGTTTTCTTTAGTGTTATGTTTTGGTTCCTTTATCTTTATTTTTTGTGTCTCTATTGCAGGTTTTATGGTTACCATAGCCATATGGTATGTGTATATATATGTATATTGACTTATATATGTAGTTATTTCAAGCTGATGGTCACTTCAATTTGAATGCATTCTATAAGCACTACATTTCTACCCACCTCCCATGTTTTGTTTTTGATAGCATATTTTATATCTTTTTATTTTGTGTATCCCCTTAACTACTTCTTGTAGTTATAGTTGATTTTACTATTGTTGTCTTTTAACCTTCATACTGTTTTTTTAAAGTGGCTAATCCACGGCTTTACTATATATTTGCCTTTACCAATGAGATTTTTTTCTTACATATATTTTCTTATTTCAAGTTATGGTCTCTTCTTTTTACACTTAAGGAAAACCCTTTAACATTTCTTGTAAGGCCAGTTTAGTGGTGATGAACTCTTTTAATTTTCTTGCCTGAGAAACACTTTGTCTCTCCTTCAATTATGAATTATAACCTTGCCAGGTAGAGTGTTCTTGGTTGTAGGTTTTTTCCTTTTAGCACTTCAAATATATCCTGCCACTCTCTTCTGGCATGCGAAGTTTCTCCTGAAAAATCAGCTGATAGCCTTATGGCATGTTCCTTGTATGTGACTGTTTTTCTTTTGGGGCCTTCAATATTCTCTCTATGTCTTTAAATTTTGCCATTTTAGTTATCTGTCTTGCTGTGAATCGCTTTGGGTTCATCTTGCGTGGGACTCTCGGTGCTTTCTTCCCCAGGTTATGGAAGTTTTCAGCCATTATTTTTTCAAATAATTTTCTGCTCCTTTCTCTTTTCCTTCTGGGCCTCCTGTAATGTGAATGTTAGTACACTTGATATTGTCCCAGAGGTTTTTAAAATTATCCTCATTTTTAAAAATTCTTTTTTCTTTTTGCTGTTCTGATTGGGTGGTTTCTGCTATCTTGTCTTTCAGTTTGTTGATCCATTCTTCTGTATCATTTGGTCTGCTGTTGACTTCCCTTTAGTGTATTTTTTCATTGCAGTTATTATATTCGTCAGCTCTGATTGGTTCTTATTTTTCTTATATTTCTTATATTTTCCAACTCTTTGTGGAAATTCCCACTGTGTTTCTCTTGAGTTCAGTGAGCATCTTTATGACCATTACTTTGAATTCTTGATTGGATAAATTACTTCTCTCTGTTTTTTTAGAGTTTTTTTCCCTGGAGTTTTATCTTGTTCTTTCATTTGGAATGTACTCCTTTGTCTCCTCATTTTGTTTGACTTTCTGTGTTTATTTCTACGAATTACGTGGAACAGCTACCTCTCCAGGTTTTGAAGTAGTGGCCTTGCGTAGGTGTGGCTTTGAAAGGCCAGCTGGAAGGCTGTGGGCTGGGGTGTGCCATGCCAGGGCTGCCTTGGCAGGGTGGTGGGATCAGGCACAGGCTGGGCAGGTCCCAGACCATGTTGGAGCTGCCTTGGGGCCCATGGCTGAAGCTAGTATGGGCCAGGGGCCTGGGACACACACCCTAGTAGGCTGGCTAGAGTACCCGAACCCTGCTTCTATTTGTGCTATCCAGGTGGAGGGGTGCTCATCCAGGTATCTATGACCTTGGAGAAGTACCAGGAGTTTCCACCCATTTGGTAGATGCTCTAAGGTTTGCAAACGGATTTCCTTCACTCTTAGTCTTGCTGGCCTTTAAACTGTTCTTTTTTCACTGTGCCTCAGGGCGAGTGAGTCTGTGCGCTGGCCTCTCAGTGATATCCCTCCCTGCTGTAGGTTGCCACATGGGGGGTGGGATTCCCATTGTTACTGTCTCTCTTTCTCTAACCTTTGTCTGTGGTCCCTCTAGTGTTTGTTGTGCAGAAGCTGTTTCAGTCAGCTGTCAGTTCTTCTTCAGGAGAAATTGCTTTATATGTAGGTATAGATTCCGTGTATCCATGGGAGGAGGTGATCAGGGTCTTCCTACGCTACCATCTTGGACTGTCTCCTTGCTTTACTTTTGATTTCTGATTATACTGCAGATCATAGTTGAAAAGTGAAGAATATCATGCCCGAGACTTTCTTTATAAATCTTCTACTTGTTTCCCAGTTCATATCAAAGTGGTGCGTTCTTTCCATCAATCTTATTCTCTGGGAAGTACCAAGGGTCTCCTGGATCAATCGATACAGCTGATCTTTTCAAATTAAATTATTTCTCAGTAAGTTTGGGTAAAAAATGGTTTAAGCCAAAGGAAAATGTGGATTTGTGTCTCTTTTCTCAGGGAATTATAGTAAATTGAATTTCATCTACCTAAATTACTGGTATTGAGTGATAGCTCTTTCCCACTCTAGTATATTTGTTGCTCACCTTTCAAAGTGATACTCTCAGGTATATGTTACTAGGAAGTAGAGATAGTATAAATGCTTATTTTGTTCCATAAAAGATATTTAAGGAGGCCTGCACCTTTGCCAAATTTCCTTTGGGATTCTGATAAACTGTCAAATCTGATATTTGGTATTTACGGTGTGGACAGATTTAATCCTTTATAGCTTTATCTTTATCTCCTTAATTTCACTTTATTTCAAAAATGATTTAAAATGAGTGATTCATACCAGATTAATTATGTGATTTAAAAAAATGGTAATTCCAGTATATAGAGACCAATAATTTTTTACTTCAAAACCTAGGTTTTGCTGTTTTCTAAGTGTAATAGAGACTGATTTGGAATATACCTTGGTTATGACTTAAATGAATAATGTTCATTTTAGAAGAAAATTAAGGGAAAAACCTGAGAATTACTTTACCTTAGATTTTGTGGGTGTTCCTTTCTTGTGGTTAACCATAATTTCATCAGAAATGAACATTAAAGTTAGTCATAAAGAGACTAGTTATTATAACTTGAGCTGTTCATTAAACCATCGAAATAGATGAATATAGGATGACATTTATTTTTTAACATTTAAGCCTTTTCATGTAGGTAACTGGACAAACTTCTACAAATCCTTCAGAGTCTTAAGAAAAGGAATTTATCTTTCTACTTCTTTCTTTTTTTTTTTTTAAGATTTTATTTGAGAGAGAAAGAGAGCATGTGCAAGAGCAGGGGGAGGGGCAAAGGGAGAGGAGAAGCAGGCTTCCCACTGAGCAGTGAGCCTGATGCAGGGCTTGATCCCAAGACCCTGAGATCATGACCTGAGCCCAGATCAAGAGTCAGATGCTTAACCAACTGAACCACCCAGGTGCCCCAGGGGCATATAGATTTAGACTCTCCCTCTGCCTGAGCAAATGCCTCTTTTAAGATGTCTGAAGACATTTTGGCTTCCAGGGATGATCTGCAGGTCTCTCTCCATCTCTGGCTGAACCTTTCTAAACACGGAACATATCAGAGAATGGTGAGCTCCAGGGTCTATAGGGGTAAAAGGCAAAAGTTACAGAATGAGGTATACAGATAAGGTGTACATATAATTGTTTTTAATGTATTTATTTGTTTATTCCTTTTCCTTGATCGTTCTAGAGTACCATTGCTCTCACTAAAGCAACAGGCTTTGAAAACAAGCTTCTTGAGCAATAAAGTAGAAAATATGTTTTGGTAGTTTAAAATGGTAATGTATGTTTCTGAACATTTTAGTTAAAGATAGCTGTTTGGGACTGGGAGAACTGGTTTATCCAGTGTCTATGACCTGAGTAAGAGGGTTATATATATTAACTAGAAGCTTTGATAATGGATCTGTTACATAGAAATTTTTCGTTTTAAGAAAATTATCCTATTTTATATGTATAAATGAACATTTGTATGGGCAGAAATTTTGTTGTCTCTCTCCTGAAGTTCCCTTACTAAAGCAAAATTGCCAAGTATTAAAAGGCAAGGAATTTCTTCCTAGGTATAAAATTTGCTGGTTTATCAGTTGGATGCAACTTATTCTATGAATCTTTCTTAATAATTATATATATCTGAGTATATATTCTTCCTGAAGAATATTCTCTAAGTATTATGTACTGAAAAATGATAATCTGACTTGATTATGTTCTTTCTTTTTTCTTTTCAGAAAGTATCTATATGTCACATCTTCTTTTAAAGGAGCATTTAAAAATGAAGTTAAAAAGGCAGAAGAAGCAGTCAAGATTGGTATGTGCACTTATTCTGAGATATGTACTGTTCTAGCATTGTAGGAATGACCACAGTTAATCAAATTTCCGCCTCTCAGGAACTTCATAACACATTTTTCTATCTCTAGCTTTGTTTAATTATGGTGTTGTTTATTATTATAACATATATTGCTATATCTTATTATTTACTATTATTCCAAGTACACACTTGGAACGAGATTGATGTATATTGATATAAGAAATTCTGGTTGGCATGATGCTGAGTTAGATCATTTTAGAGACTAGCATTACATGTACTTTAAGAAGGAATGTTCTGCACATTCACTACTCCCTCCCCCCCCCCGCCCCGGCCACAATGAGGACAAAGCCATGCTTTCCCAGTGGTCCAGGAGCAAGGAATAACTTTATATTTCATGGATTTTAGAGAATTTTCAGTCAGCCAAACATTCAGTCATAACTCTTTAATTTGTATGTATAAAGTTATGCCCTGTCAACTGTAATGTCTAAGAGGAAGCCCAGTGTGGCTGCCTCCACCTGGCAGGTGTGAGAGCTATGGAAGGAATATAGGATTTTCTGAGATTATTGTCTATAAGCCATTCTCACTGGTCACAGCCATAAGGGGTGTGTGTGTGTGTGTGTGTTTGTGTGTGTGTACGTGCGTGTGTGTGTGTGTGTGTGTTTGTGTGTGTGTACGTGCGTGTGTGTGTGTACATATATATAACACTCATTTAAAATTGCTTGAGGGGCGCCTGGGTGGCTCAGACGTTAAGCGTCTGCCTTCAGCTCGGGTCATGATCCCAGGGTCCTGGGATCGAGCCCCGCGTCGGGCTCCCTGCTCAGCGGGAAGCCTGCTTCTCCCTCTCCCACTCCCCCTGCTTGTGTTCCTTCTCTCGCTGTGTCTTTCTCTGTCAAATAAATAAAATCTTTAAAAAAAAAAAAATAAAATAAAATAAATAAAAAATAAAATTGCTTGAAAGAATTTCCTGGTGTTATAATTATCTTGCTTCTGCTTCCAGCCGAACTCGTGTTGAAAGAGGCACAAATCACAGTAAACTGGCCTGACAGGACTTCTTTGTCTTGTGCCAAGGTATGACACATAGTCTTCTTAAATGGTAAAGTGTCCTTTGCTTTTTCCTGCACACAGTTGTCTCTTACCATTTACTTCCTAAACTTGTAAACACAGACAAGCTCAGAAGCTCAAGCTGATTTTCACCCAGGTAAACAGAACAGAGGCGTGCAGAGAAAGGAGAGAAGTATCAGCAGTGAGAGAAGGCTGAGTCCGAGAGCAAAGATAAGCAACGTGGGGTGAATTTGGAGCAGTGGGGACGAGTACCGCAGCTTATTTCTTTAAAATGGAAAGGAATAAGAGAAAAGGAGAAAATAATGAAAAACTAGCAGAGAAAACTAGCCTATCAAGTTTCCTTGAAAACATCTTTTCAAATTATTGCTCCCTACAGACCTGAATAAATGGGGAAAGCGAGGAGAAGACTAATAAGCCATCCTTTTTTCTGGTGCTAGGAATTATGTGCTATAATTATGAATATTAATAACAGTACTTCCAGCTTACAAAGCTCTTTTTTTATGAGTTGCTCCACACAGTTCATAAACATTGTCTGTAATCCTTGCAATATGCCCATAAGTAAGATAGGTTATAAAGAACTATTATTATTAATTACAATGTATGGCAACTAAGGAAAAGAATATTGCTGCAGGACATGAATTGTAAGTTTGCCAGCTTTTACCAAAAATGTGGTACAAAGCTTTCTACCATGGTGAATTATGAAGCAACCTTTTATTTGCTTGTATATAAAGGAATACCAAGGTGTAGGGAGAAAAAAATACCTCACTTCACCTTTCCTTCATTCTTTTCTGCAGACTCAGTATACGAATCCTTTCTGTGGTTTGTCCTTGAACTTTCAAGGACAAGGGCTGTGTCTGATACAGAGCTCTCTCATATCTAAAGATCATGAATAGGGAATGAAATCAAAGAGTAGCACCTGGTAATGCCCCAAAGTTACCCTATGGCTTTCCCCAAATTCTCTAACTTTTTTTCTTTTCAATTCTTATTTTAAGGTAAACGTAGACCTATCTTACTGTTACTGACTTTTAAAGAAAGGCTTAAGTTTTTTAAATTTTGTCTCGAAGAAATCAATTTCCTTGGCTTTATGTATTTGAGAGACAAGAGAAACAGACTCTAATGGGTCAGGACCCTGCTTTCTTCTTGCCTTAGCCTTACCTCTTACTGCCTCTTTGCTCTGTGTTCTGAGTGCATTGACAGGAGGGGTGGGGAAGGCTTTGACCACCTTGCTTTGTTGCTGAGCAAAGAGAGCAAAGCAGAGTGACCTTGGCTTCCAACCTCTTAAATTCTCGAGGCAGTTGAGTGGTTGCATGTGAAGTGAAATAACAATCATTTTACCGTTTGCTTTTACTTTAAAGTCAGTGAAAATAATGTTCAGTGAGTGGTATACTCACCAAATCAGATGCCCAACTTTCACATCGGGTGGATGGAGCACATTAAAAATCTGTTGTTATTTGTGAAATAATAACAATGCATTATTTCTTTTCTCCTGGTTAGAGCATACTAGAGATAGGGCAGTGAATGAGCCAGTAGATCAAATTAAAAGACAAGATAAGAAAGAGAGGTGGGCATTGGTATTGAGGTACTCTGAAAGGGAGAACGCCTAGGGTTGGGCTGTCCTATAAAGGGACAGCTTGGGGAGTATTCGGGTATCTGGAACTTGATATAAAGGAGACCTTTTTTTATGGTGATTGACAGAAGTTTTTAATAGCAACTTTGTTTTTCCTGAAGAAGCTTTAGTGATTGATCACGTGATTTAGCATTTTTTGTTGTTGTTCTCACAGACAAAAGTCAGACTTTGCTAAGCTTTTGTGTAATTTGTGTGAAAGCCAGTGTGATCTTACAGGGAGCAATGGCTCTTTTCTAAAAGGCAGAGAGAGAACATTGGAATATATGCAAAAAGAGAACCGTGGGCTAGGATTTGGTGTGTCTCTTAGCTACTGGAACTGAATCATTTATCAAGTATTTATTGAGTGTCTACCATGGTACAATTGCATTAGGCAATGTGACCTATCACTATTACCCTTGTGAAACATTTGGATAATAGGATAATAAATATCAGCTCAGCTTTCATTAATTTAATAGAATTATGTTCTCTCCTAACCAAATGTACTTCTCCAGGACGTATTACAGAAAGCTTTGGAAGATGTAGAAGCAAAGCATAAGATTCTTAAAGAGAAACAGAGGTAAGATGTAAGATTTTCCGTTCACCAGAATCCTCTGCACTTTGATAAAACAAATTCTGATTTCTGAGGAGATAGATTTGGTGGTTAATGTGATAACTTCTCTTTCTCAGCCTATGACATCTTATTATATTAAGCATAATATGGTCAAAATCTCCCAACCACATAATCAATGAGAGTATTTATAAAATATATATTTGCATGCATACATGTGTTTACATAATGTTAAAACTTCTGAATACAGAGTGAAAAATTAGCTCAGTGTCCAGTTGAGGAAGTAACTCTGCCCAGAGGATCAGCTGACTACTTTCTCTGTGTCCTTTGGCAGATAACAAGCCTTTGGAGGGTTGGTCCTGATTTCTTTTCACTTTTAGTACTGCTTAAAATTTAAAATTGAAAATGTTTCAAATAAATATATCACTATAGTTAAAATAAAAATAGCAAGCCTAACTTACAAAACCATTATTTACATTTGTAAAGTTGACTTGGTCTCCGGCTCAGGTGTTAAACAAGTTAAACTGAGAATATTCAGTGTTGTCTAAGTAAGGTCAGACTCTGAAAACTGGGATAACTTTGAGAAACATACTTTTAAGGAAGTATTACTAGTTTACAGGATTATCTTTTGTAAAATATGGAGTGCTATATAACCATAACTTTCCTCAAAGCTGAAATTTGAAATGTTAACTATGCATTTATAAAAATAAATACTAAATAAATCTCATAGAAATCTTCATTAAAAAGCAAAGTCCTCTTTATTTTTTAAAAGTTTTTATTTAAATTCCAGTTAGTTAACATACAATGTTATATTAGTTTCAGGTGTACAATATAGTGACTCAGCACTTCCATACATCACCCTGTGCTCATCACAGAAGGTGCCCTCCTTAATCCCTATTACCTATTTCCCCCATCCCCCCACCCCCTCCCCTCTGGTAACCATCAGTTTGTTCTCTATAGTTAAAAGTCTGTTTCTTGGTTTGTCTCTCTCTCTCTTTTTTTTTTTCCCTTTGCTCATTTGTTTCTTAAATTCCACTTATGAGTGAAATCATATGGTATTTGTCTTTCTCTGACTTATATCACTTAGCATTATACCCTCTAGATCCATCCATGTTGTTGCAAATGGCAAGATTTCATTCTTTTTTTATGGCTGAGTAATATTCCATTGAGTAATACCACATCTTCTTTATCCATTCATCAGTTGATGGATGCTTGGGCTGTTTCCATAGCAAAGGCTGCTTTAAAGTTTTCAGAAAGAAAAATCTGGTTTGTGAATTATTTGTAGTTACATTGATATGCATGAAAGGTGATTGATCTACATTTAATTAATAACAATGCCAGTTAGTTGGTATGAACTTGCTTTTAGAACAAAATGCTTTTTAATTTATGATTGATTTTTTAAAAAGAGTTATTGATTCTGAGACACACACACACACACACACACACACACCCAAAGCATGAGGGAGAGAGAAAATCTCAAGCAGACTCCCCACTGAGCACAGAGCCCAACACCAGGCTTGATCTCACGACGCTGACCTGAACTGAAACCAAGAGTTGGATGCTTAAACCAATGGCGCCAACTGGGTGCTCCCAAAATCCTGCAACACTCTGTTTTGGGGTCCCTTACATAGTCAGTATTCTTTTTTATTGAAGAGTAAGGATTTAATATTTAGTATACATTTGTGGGAAAAAGTGTCATTTGTATATATTTGACCCAACATGTATGTGCTTAAAAAATAAATACTATGTTGGGGCGCCTGGGTGGCTCAGTTGGTTCAGCAACTGCCTTCGGCTCAGGTCATGATCCCGGAGTCCCGGGATCGAGTCTGCATCGGGCTCCCTGCTCAGCGGGGAGTCTGCTTCTCCTTCTGACCCTCACCCCTCTCATTCTCTCTCTCTCAAAAATAAATAAAATTAAAAAATATATATACTATGTTAATCCAAGTCAATAACTTCCTTTAAAGTCTAATGTACTCTGTATATCCTGTCTAGATAGAAGAACTATTAGGACTTTTTCTTTGTCCATTAACGATAGATGTATTTAACCAGTCCAGTAAGCATGTTATGTCAGTCATAATGGCACGTTATTGTAAATTTGAAAAGAAAAGGCTGTTTTTGTGGAATGAGGAGAGCTACAAAATGTGTAGAGGGGAAGAATTATATTAGCATTCTTGATAGGGAAAGGAAAATAACATTGCTCATGAGGCACCTACTGTGTTCCAGGTTTATACTTAACATTCTCTCTTTTAGTCCTCACAGCATCCAAAATGGCTAGGTACACATTATTCCCATTTTTCAGATGAGACAGACAGTTGAAGTGACTCATCCATAGTTATTACATGATTATTACAGAGATGAGCTTGTATTTGAAGCCAGCTCCATCTTTCCGATTCTTTTTTTTAAGATTTTATTTATTTATTTGAGAGAGAGAGAATGAGAGATAGAGAGCACGAGAGGGAAGAGGGTCAGAGGGAGAAGCAGACCCCTCGCTGAGCAGGGAGCCTGATGTGGGACTCGATCCCAGGACTCCAGGATCATGACCTGAGCCGAAGGCAGTCGCTTAACCAACTGAGCCACCCAGGCGCCCTGTCTTTCCGATTCTTACATCCAGGCACTTTTCATGGCTCCAAGCAGCCTCCTGTTACTACGGTTGTTTCTATCATATTCTTCTGTGTCTCAATTTCTGTTTTTCCACTTTTGATAGAAAAGTCACATAAAACATAAGATAACAGGACAGAGTCCAAAAAACAGGAGCTCATGTCTGTTGCCCTTGTAAACTTGCCTTATTAACTTTGATTTACCTTTGATTTTGGAGAAGGAGAGAAAACTACAGAATATCTTTTGGCACATTCTAATCTATATAGGATATTGAGAGGCTTGAGGACATGCTGAAAGTTAGAAATCACATCCAGTGTTAAAAATACCTAAATTTTAAAAGAGTCAAATCATCATATTTCAAAAATGCTGCAGTGTACATACATATTAGACCCTGTAACATTTCCCCTGGGTAGTTTATATATAGTAACAAAATACCTGGGTATTTTATATATAGTTTCTTTGATGTTTACCTTCCCATTTTAATTATTGGCAGTTTGTAAATTGTATATTTTTATTTAATAAAAACTTTTTTTTTTTTTAACTTTTCTAAATATAATGCCAGAGAATTAAAAAAAGCCAGGACACTGTGCTTGTTCTTTGGGGTGAACATAGAAAATCGAAGCCAAGCTGGGATGTTCATTTACAGTAATAACCGCCTGATCAAAATGCATGAGAAAGTGGGCCCACAGTTGAAACTGAAGTCCTTGTAAGTATGTTTTTGTTTTCAGAGGCATAGGCAGCATGAGGGAGGCTGCAGTAAGATTCTGTCTGTGGAGTTAAATGAGTGATTAATCATAATGGGAGCAGGTGTCCTGTCCTCTGGTCACCCTTCCCATCAATATGCAGGCATTAATCTGCCTAATTTATAATATTGGCAGAGATGCATGCCTGTCCTAAGGCAAAAGCATACTTTGGGAAATTTTTTCAATACATTTTCTGAGCAACTTGATGTTTTACCGTTTCTAGCACCATCTACTCGGGTTAGGTTCTTAATATTTTACCAATTTAAAAATAATACAAGCATAATAAAGAAATTTTAGGAAAAAAAATCCATAGTCTTATAAAGCAACCCTGTTAACATTTTGTACAACCCTTAACACGTGTGAGTTCTTGCCAGTTACCTTCATGAGCGTGTATTATTAACACTCTCCAGCCTAGTTGGCTTCCAGAGTAATACATTCTGGTGCTTTCCTGATGGTCTGAAACTCCACGGGCTGCTTTCATCAATTATGTAGAGAGTCAGACAACGGAATTGTGACCAGTAAAATGGCTTAGGGGTCAAACACAATAATTGTGACTAGTAGAATGGCTCGAGGGAACATTTTTCATCTTATTTCTCACTTTTGAGGAATTAGAAGTTCATTCATTTGTTCATTCTGCAGGCTCTCATGTTGCAGTATCATGTGCCAGGCACTGCACTAGGCTCTGCAGACAAGCTGGGGAACACCTGCTACCCTCTGCTAAGAAACTTACAATCCAGGGAAAGGGACAGTATATAAATACATATTTTTTTATATTCTGTGGGAACAGTGAGAATGATCTTTAAAAAAAAATTAGTTTACTCTCTTGCTTAAAACCCCATTGCATGTTGAATAGAACTGGTTACCATGGTCTTCCAGTGATCTGGCCTCTGCCGGGCTCCGTGACAGCCCCCGCCCCACTCACCTTCTCAAGCCTTCTCCTTACACCAGCAGCTTCCTTTTTCTCACATATCCTACGCTCGCTCCTGCCTTAGTGCCTGGCACCTGCCCTCCCTCTGCCTTGAACCTTCTGTCCTCAGATCTCTGTACTGCTGGTCCTGGCGTGTTACTTAGGCACCAACTCTAAAGTTCCCTGCATAGGAAAGTCTTCCTGGACTGTCTAATTCAAGTTGGCCCCTACCATCAGCCCCTCCGCCTTACCACTCTTCACGTGTTACAGCACCTGCTTTATTTTCCTCCTACCTCTTATCACCATCTGAAATGATCTGGTCACCCTTACTGCCTGTTACCCTTCAATATAAGAGAAACTTTATAAGCAGGGACCTTCTTGTTCAATAGTGCATTCCTAGTTCCTGGAATAGGGCCAGGTGCTATGGATGGATGGACGGATGGATGGATGGATGGATGGATGGATGGATGGATGGATGGGTGGGTGGATGGGTGGACGGATGGACGGATGGA